CTCTTTGACCAGCGAGTGAACAGCTGCCCATAGCATTTATTTCCTTCAAAAGATGGTATCTTGGTTTTTGGATAGCCAAAAAGCTCTCTTCTTCCTACTTACCTCTTGTTATTTTGACCCTTATTTTAATGGGTCTATTTTTTATATCAAATGCATTATCATACAAATGATCCCAAATCATGCCAACTAGAGACTAAACATTCTCTCTCTCTTCTCTCTCTGGGGTGTGTGTGTGTGTGTGTGTGTGTGTGTGTGTGTGTGTGTGTAAATGTCATGATGTACAGGAACCCAAGAAAGCCAGGAGAGGATGCTGAATCCCCTGGAGCTGGAGCTACAAGCAGTTGTGAGCTGCCTGCCACCGGTGCTGGGAATGGAACTCAAGTAAGTACTTTTAACTGCTGAGCCTTCTCTCCATCCCAAAGACCATGAATTAAAAAATAAAATCAGTGCTACAGATGTGCTGGGAATAACCAATGACCTTCTGAGTGTATTCAAGGCCTGCTACACAAGACTGAAGCCATGACTGGCTAACGGGGCCAAGAGCCCATGGCTGGGTAGGCCAAAGACCTCCAGGGGAACCTCTGCTATTGTTCTAAGTGGACATGCTATCAACCTGCCTTATATGCCTAGGGCAGCTCTCAATCCTCATCAGAGAAGCTTTTTTTTTCCCCAGTAGATTATGAATAACAGAGAGACTCACAACTGGTTTATTACCAGAGAAAACGTGACATACACAGCCACGAACAGACATCTCCACCACACCCCTTCTCCCAGGGATCACCACGGCAGAGCGCACAGCCATGAACAGGACATCTACAACACACCCCTTCTCCCAAGGCACAGGGATCACCACAGAAAAGGAATTGGAAAGACTCTAAGTCTGAAGCAGTAGCTGACTGCAGGAAGACAGCATTTTCTGGATGCCACAGGCAACTGCACATATGAACTCACAGGAGCTTACACAAGACAGCATCCCAGCACGCTGAGGGGGAGTCACCAAGTGCTGCCCCTGGCTGTGGAGCGAATGGCAGCTGATGGCTACTGGAGAAAGTCAGTTTTCTTCGGGGAGGGGGCTCCCAGGAGGCTACCCACCCTCCACTGAATGGCCTGTGCTCATGTACTGGCAGCATGGAGCAGATGCAATGCGTTTGAAAAAAAGAGCAGCAAACTTGGAGAGAACAGTAGTGGGGCACACAGAGAAGAAATTGAAGGGGAGGGATGGATAGGTTTAAACACATTATGTGTACGTACGAAATGCTAAAAGGACAACAAATTTGGCTCTAATTTCCCAACTTCTGGTTCTCAAGTAGGAGCTAAACAATATCTACACACTAGGCTGGTTCATTCACTTAAAGGATGGAAAGCGTCTTACCCAGCACCTGACCTCTAGGACATGGTTAGCAAATAAGTTCTGATCCAGCCTAAACACCATTAGTATGTTACTAATCTGTGCCCTCTGTGAATGATTGACATTATCAGTTCAAGAACCTACTTAACTTATGATTGAGGACACAGGTGGTTGTAAATTGGGTTCAAGTCTTTTATGGTCCCAAATAAATCAACTTTGACTAGCTAAGACAAAACTCTGTGGGGTTGGAGAGATGGCTCAGTGGTTTAGAGCATCAGCTACTCCCATAGAGGACCCAGGTTTGAGTCCCAGCACCCACAAGGCAGCTCACAACTGCCTGCAATTCCAGTTCCAGGGGATTCAACATTCTCTTCTGAGGTCCCTGGACACCAGTCAAGCTCGCGGGGACACATACAAACATGCAGACAAGACACTCATACACATAAAATAAATCGTCTTTTAACAAGATGAAACTAGGCATACATACAAAGATATCCCCCAGAAGGAATAGGGAGGAAGGCACAATTTCCAGAAGCTGGTGAGGTCACTGCTGAAAAAAAGCTTCCTCTTACACCCGCTGAGATTTTTTTTTTATTAAAATCAAATCAGAAGCAAAATCATAAAGTCAGTTAGTCCACACACAAATGAAATGTGTGGTTCATGTGGAAGGAGAATGTTCCACCTGCAGGTGAGATCGGAGCACAGCTGCTCACAGAGGGTCCTGACAAGGGGCATGCCAGGAAGGAAAGGAGGAGCCAAGACCCAGGTCTGAAGATGCACACCGTCCACTGGACACCTCCCCTTACCAGTACTTTGTCAGTGGGGATTAGTGTATTAGCGACCTGGGGGCCCCCTCAACGTATCCAAAAGGACACGTTGGGGGACCACACACTCTATCCCAGAGCATCACCCATTTCGGGTTTGGCCCTTGCCTCTGCTGAGAGTGCAGGCCTTCCCTGTTCTAAGCCGTCCATATGGCCCATCCCCCACTGTCCTTAAGCAGGATGACTAGAGGGGATTTCAGAGAGGGATTATGTGGGCTTGGCAGGTGGGGGTTGGAGGTGGGTAGGGCGCTGTAGCCCAACAAAGACACTACTCAGACAACAGACTTCCTTGGGAAAACTGTAATCACCCGACTTGGAGGAGGCCAAATGCTGGCAGGGTTTATTGGCTTCCATTCACAACAGTGTTTGTTTTTGTAGGTAATTAGAGTTTAGTAGCAAGCCATAAAGAATTCTACAAGTAACTGTGCACAGTCTATAGCTGAAAGGGTACTGAAGGATGCCTGTGTCTAGCCATTCACCACTGCAGACCTCCTGGGCTAAGCAGCCAGTTTTTGACCCAGCGGTTCATCGGGAAGAAAAGACCTCTGTGCTTTCATACACAAGGAAGAAATACCTTCATGGGGCATATGTGTGTCCCAGTGTATGGGACACATAGCACCGTGACAAAGACTGTGGTACAGGAAGCTGCCGCAGAAAACTGCAGTTGATGTACCAGTAGCTCAAAAACTTTATCCTTTTTTAAAAATTTATGTGTACGTATGTGTGCCTGTGTAGGTCTCTCTGTGCATCATATTCTGATAGATGTCTGTGGAGGCCTGAGGGCATCAGATCCTTTATAACCATAGTGAGCAGCCAGATGTGGGTGCCGGGACTTGAACCCAGATCCTCTACAAAGAGCAGTACATGCCCTTAACCACTGCTTCGTAGTTTATTGGCTTTCATTCACAAAAGAGTTTGGTGTTTGTAGGTAATTAGAGTTTAGTAACAAGCTATTAAGAATTCTTCAAGAAACTGTATACAGTCTATAGCCAAAGTACCTCATGTTCCAGCCCCTCAAACCATCTTTAAGAACAATCTGTCTATCTGAATGTCTGTCTGTGTCCGTCTGTCCGTCCGTTTGTGTCTCTGTCTCTGTCTCTGTCTCTCTCTCTCTCTCTCTCTCTGTGTGTGTGTGTGTGTGTGTGTGTGTGTGTGTGTGTGCGTGTGTGTGTGTGTGACTCAGAGCACAGTCCAGATGGCGGTAACGGTCTCAGGTGAATTGTGGTACACACCAGGCTAGTTGTCCTGCGAGAGTCCAGGGAGTCTGCTGTTTCTACCTGCTCCATCTCACCACAGCAGGGTAGGGATTACAGACACATGTTAGCTCACCTAGCTTTACTTGGGTTCTGAAGACCAGAACTCAGGCCTGCATGCTTGAGTAGTAAGCACTTTCTCCCCCTGAGCCATTTCCCCAGCTCCTTCAGAAAATCTTACTTGACTGTTCACAGACACAGACACACACACACACACAGACACACACACACACACACACACACACACACAGCCGTCCCTGAAGCTCTGCATTCTTAAAGCCCTTAAACAGCTGACTCACTTTCACATACTGAGATAGGCACCTACTGAGGCCATGGTGGTCTTTGCTCATGAGTCCCTAGGGTACTGAGTTTTAACTACTGGAAAGCAGGGATATAGATGCAATGAAAAAAAAAGTGAGAGCCAAGTATTGTCACCAACAGCTAGGAAGAAGCACGGACATGGAGCGAGGGTGTACATCAGGGCCACTGACTGGCTTTGTGAGACCTCGGTCAATAAATACATGTTCCTTGTGCTACACATACAACATCCACACAGCACAGTCTCCCTCTGCCCCACATCAGGGTCTCCAACCTGTCCAGAGGAGTCAACTGCCAAATCCCCTACAAATGGGACCAGATAAACAGGACAAAAGAGAAAGGAAGGCCTGAGGCTTTGCTGTTGCTCCAGGAAAACAATTGCTTTTCCATCCTTTGTATACACTGGCTTTCCTCTTGCAACGACTGGACGTAACCGTTAAGGACTCGGGCCCCTTCCTGTGGAGGTCATTAGTAAACCTTTACGACCATTTCCCAAGAACTAGATTTCCATTTATGTTCTATACAATCCAATATAAATTTTCCCACTGCTCTGCGCGCTCAGGTTTCCTCAATTTGATTTTTTTTTAAAAAGTTCTTACACAGTCACATCACAGTTTTTCCCTTCAGAGAAACATAAAACAGACATCCTTTCTAGCGGAAAGGGTAAGCGCTCAGGCCACGGTTGTAGAATAGACTGGCTATCTGCCCCCGGGACTTCCTGCAGGTGACTGTACCCTTTCTAACACCCAGTTTTCTCCCCTGAAGATGGAGGAGGCTGCCCCAGATTCTCTAGAAGGCCCCTTTGGCCTCTAGGGCTCTAGGATTATTTAGTATTAAAATATGAAAGACTTTCCGTCCCCGGGCAAAGGCTGTTGCTGCTGATGCTTCCAAACCGAGACACTGCACTGGCCATTCAGAAAATGGGGCTTTGGCGATGACGGAAAAGAAAACAGAAAGTGAACAGCCTAGCGATAAATCCAACTGTTTTAGAATTGATGCCCTTGGAGTGAATTAAAAGACCATGCCAAGCTTGGAAAAGTAGCACCACTAACTAAGATGCCCAGGGAGACCTCATTGCTGGCTTTGAGAAGAAATGAACTTCACATTAACGTTTCCACACTCGAGAGTGAGGTGGACCATTTTATTACAGCATCAGCCATGGCATAGAGCTTCTGTGTCCCGGGGCTCTTGGAGCTCCAGTGGGAAATGTGTCTGGGGAAGAAGCAAGGAGGCGGAACATCGGGGTCTGATACTTACTTGTGGCCCAGCTCATGGGCGATGGTAAAGGCCAAATTGAGACCATTGTCTTCGGCAAGCACACATTTCCTCTTAGCACTGCACACGCCTCCTAAGTAAGCAATTCCTGCAGCAGAGACACAAAACACATCCTCTTCAGAACGGGGAGGCCCTGACCTCCGGGAAAGCCCACACAGCCAGAATCACGCACGGCCTGGAAAGGAGCAAATGGGGTCACGGTGGCCTACCAGGCTGGACCTGGCTTGTGCAGGATGCCGGTGTAGGCATCCATAGCAACGACGTGGGTCAGGCAGAGCGCTGAGTGCCTTATCAAAGCATCTCACTCCCTTCTCATCGATGAGAACAGAGGCAACCCAAACCAAGTTCAGAAACGGAAGAGACTTTCCCGGGTCACCGGGTTTGACACTTAGGGCTCAGAGCGAGAGACCGGCAAAGCAAAGTAAGCCGAATTTGGAGCGTAAGGAGGATGTCCTTCTGGCTCTGACATGTCCTTGAGAAGGACATCCTTAAGTTTTGTACTTTTGCCTCCCCCTAGTCTTGACCCTTGGGGAGAAAGGCAGCGCAGGGCAGGGGTACGGGCAAGAGGCAGAGGGCAGAGGGCAGGAGATCCGAGTGGGCAGCAGTAAGCCAATTGCCAGAGGTTTCCCTGAGAGGAAGGCCCACCAGTGAGGGCTGCACATGAACAGCACAGATGGCCGAGGAGAGCAAGGCTTCGGAGCGCAGCCGCAGGGCAGGGGGGGCGTGTCTTCGGCAGCCTAGCTCCAGGTTTCTTGCCTTCCAGAGAGCTCTCCATTACTTCTGTTCTCTCTGCTCCCAGGATGTCCATCCCTCCAGAGATTACGGCAGCAAGGTCTCTGTGTGCCTGTCCTCTGCCCTCTGCCCTCCCCTATCACTGGTCATGCACCTCCATGCAGGCAGTCCTTCACAAAGGCCTGGATATAACGGGGGGGGGGGGGCGGGTGAACTGGTCTCCTTGTGAGGTCCCACTGGGTGAGGCCGAGCTGTGCAACTGTAGGCAGAGAGACGAAGGAGGAGCACAGCTGTGCTTTATATTCTGGCTCAGTGCCACGCTGGGATCCCTTGAGGGAGAAATGCCTGTTCACTACCGCCATGGGTACCAACCCACCCACTAAGCTCCATCCCGCCGGAGCTCAGGCCTCCTTCGTTAATTTTCCTGAAAGGTCACAGGAGGGAAGGATTTGTCAGAGAAAGAAGGAGGACTATCGAAGGGAAATTATCTCACTAAAGATGACCGCCCCCTCCCCAATTAGAAAAAAACTTATTTCCTTAGCATGAAGCCAGCTCTGGGTGCTGGCTGCTGTGCTTCCCACACCTTGCGCTATTTGTGGTCCCCTCTTATCCTCCCCCTCCGGAGCAAGAGGGGGAAGCAATGCCTGGAGGTCCCATGAAAGAGAAAAGTAGGGTTTTCGGTACAGCTTAGAGGTAACTGAGGGATGCTGAGGGCAGGGTTTGGTCCACAGTACCACAAAGGAAAACATCATCAAGCTGCCATGGACTTTGGGCACAAACAGGGCCTTCCCTTTTTCTGGGTCCCCTCCATGAGGTACAGAAGGGTCTCAAATGCAGGTTTTGCAGAGAGATGCAGTTCTGGGGCTACCAATGGGTGACACATCCCACATTCCACGAGACGAGCAGCTGTGCTGCACCACAGGCCTAATGTTCTCCAGGAACATGCAACATGCTTGGCCAGGGTTGCAGAGTTTAAAAGCAGCAGCAACAGCAGTAGCAACAACAAAGAAATAAGCAAAGTGCTATTTTGGCCTCCAAATACATGCATTTTATGCACGTGGACTTAACAATCCAACAATGCAGACAACGGGTGGAAAGAAAACAGCATCCAGAAAGGCTGCAATCTGGCTGCCTGTTGCCTTCAAGGTTGTATTCTGGTTCTGTTATAAAATGCTTTGTGGGTTGCCACTGGCAGTCCAACAGTAAATAGATGGTAAACCGCTACACAGCACTGATGGTGTGTGCATGGGACACACACACACATACACACACACACACACTGCAGTGTGAAACCCAGGTCACAGTCATTCTGGGTCAATGAACGAATTATAGGCAATCAGAAGCATGCATTCTAAGGCAGTCAGTCACATGGTGAGAAAGGAGGCATAATATGGCCAGATGTATGGTGCTTGCTGTCCTGAGCATGCCTGCTTAGGGGCTCTGTTGCTGAACCAGCAGACCTTAAATGCCACACAAATACTTTCCTGGGTCTCGACAGCCCTCCGCACTCTGAGCTGGCAGAATCAGCTTCCCACTTTAACTGCATAGCATGCAGTGCTATGAGCAGCAGCCAGCAAAAAGAGCCTTCCAATAAATGCATTTTAATTTTTCCAAAGTGCAGATGCTTGGATTAAAAAAATACCTAGAAAACAAGGGGTCAGTTTATTTATAACATTCACTTGCACAAGGGTGGGTTAAGGGCCACTGCTTTTAGTGATTGATTGCAATCATTACCAGCCTGGTGATTAAAACCCAGCAAAAGAAAACATAAAAGAAAACTGCTCTTGATCACAAAACACGAGGGCTGTGTGAGGTTATGAGCGAGGGCGTCGAAATGCTTAGGGTGTGTAAACAAAGACTAGAGAAAATCCCAGGTCGCCAGCAATATGAGATCTGCTGGGTAAATATATGGTAACTAAACCATGGAACTCCTATGGAAAATAGGCCGCCGGCATTCAGTGTTTCGTGGAAAGAAACAACTATTCCGGGCAGGGGCACTGGAGAGCAGGGATGCAATAGTATGTAGTCTGTACCTAAGGTTTCCTAACTGCCCTGGAGTTGAGGTCACTGCGGTGGCATTATTGGGAGGTGATGGGTGTCTAGGTGGTGGGCTTGGTGGGAGGCCTTTAGGTCTTTGGGGATACACTCTTCAAGGGGAGAATAGGGCTCAGCCCCGTCCTCCTTTTTTGCTCTCCTGCTATGTGGTAAGCCATTTCCTTCCCTGGGCAACTCCAGTCACCCCACCCAGATTGACAGGAGACCTAAAAGCGATGGGTCTGATGGACAGCCACTGGATCCTCTTCAGCCTCTGTAGAAAAACCTCTGCTCCTCAGATAGTTCTCTTGGGGACTCATCCCAGTGGTGGAAAGCTAACCAACACAGACCTTGATCACCCCAGGTTCCACAAAGCACCAAACCGGAAGAGGCCACGACATAGGTCTACATTGGTCCTTGTCAGGAAATAAGGAAAAACTAGTTTTCTCTGCATCAATTTACTTAAAAAAAAAAAAAAAAGACTGAAACATCTGCTCTGCCAGCTGCATGCTGCAGAGTCTCTTTAACTGTAATTCCTGTCGGCAAGGTGTCTTGCATCCCACTGTTCACAAAATTCTCCACAAAGGAAATCATAGTAGGACCCATTATATAACATCAGTCCCGCATGTTTGTGTGGCTCCTTGGAAGGAAAGCGAAGCAGAAAGGCTACTGCCGTTCATCTGTACATCCCTTCAGGAACAAAGCTGCACGTAAGCTTCTAATTCATAAACTCAAGACTATGTATTTGCTCTGCTGTAGACTCACGCAATGAGCACCACACAACTGTATAAACCCAGTTTCTGCAGTAAACCACAGTGTGTAAACCACAGTGTGTAAACCACAGTGTGTAAACCACAGTGTGTAAACCACCGGCAGCTGTTGACTTTGTCACCCATTAGTCAGAGGCACAGAGGCTCCGCCTGCGAGCTAACAGTCAGGTTTTCCTTGCCCACTGCACATCGCACCAACACCAGCAGACTCTCCACTGGACCCTCATACTATCCATGACAAGGGAGTAACTCCTGTCTGTTCATTTGATGCGCCTGTCACTGTCGAGGATCTTATGTTCATCGTTACTGACAACTGTCTGTAAGGTGGTCGAGATTCAAACAGTGAGCATTTCAAACAGTTCAGGTGCAACTGAACTTGGGGATAACATTTAAGAGCAAAGAAAAGATCTTAAAGTCTAATAGGTGACGAATGAAAAATAGCCAGTATTGATTCCCATTCTTAATAATAGGTAAGTTATATATACTTTTAAAATAATATGTACAAGTATATATATTTTATGTATATATATATATAAAGACTTGTTATTATATATTGTTAATTCACTTCCATTAAATCCACACCCATGTAATTCATGTTTGAACAAGAATGCATAACTGTTCTTTCTCCTCTCTAGGATTTTCTCCACAAGGCTCTATAAGGCCCATCCTGGCACCTCCCTCTTAGGAACACCACACTTGAACGCCAGGCTCAGAAGTCATTTGAAACAGTGAAATTACAAGGAGGGGCACAAAACGCAACCCATGTGGCACTAAGCACACTGCGAAGGGCACTTGTTAGGGCATGAGAGCTGAACAAGGCAGGCGGAGGATGGTCTGGCTTCACCTCAGCCAGGAATGTGTCTGAGGTGGTTCACACTTCTCAGCACGCTAAATACGTCCATGGACGACTGCCAGAGTGTTCTGAGGACTGGAGATACTAATACATCACAGCAAGTGGCAAAAATGAATCAGAATATCCTAAAGCAAAATCTCCAAGCCCAGAAACAAACATGTTGGGCAAAAGAAATTGCTTATCACCTACAATAAAGGAATTTCATTTTCATCTCAGTTCTGCTCCTGTTCCCATTATTCTCTCCAAATTACTTGATCTGCTTGGGTCATCTCCTCTCAGCTTGTTTCTGAAATTAGGGAATCGCCAGGACTCCCTACCATGCAGGATAGTCTCTGCATAGTGAGCCACCGGTCATCCAAGGGACCCCAGAGCCCTGTGGCAGCATAGGATCTAAAAAACAATCAGGAAACATTGTTCATGGTAAGGCTCCAAAAGGCTGGCGAGGGAAGTGGCCAGACAGACTCAGAAGCTCTGTACTCTACACCTGCTGTGCCCAGGACTATCTGTCTCACTGTGGGGCACCTACCTCCTGGGGCACAGTGGATTGCTTTCCCAGACATTGACTTGTCTTAGCAATTCCCCCACCAGGATACGCTCTGCTTGCCCCTAGCCTTTCTGTGTCCCTTAGCATCAGCCATGCAGATAGATGAGCTAGTCATGGTTTTTATTCCTATACCATGCAGAATATTAGAGCAATGG